TCTCCTACCCGAGTTGGCACACTGAGCTGGCATTCCCCAATGCCTGGCACTCTCCGGACACCTGAGAACGCCCCTGCGTGGAACCTCACATACTGACTCCAGCTGAAACTTCGAACAGGAGGTTTTCCCACGCCGCGAACGTGCAAGGTTTTTCTCCTCTGTGGATTCGCGTGAGGCCAAGTTATGGCTGAATCTTCTCCCTACAGTGGCCCTGTGGATCCCATGGTCTCGTGAGCACACGTGCTAATCACATTTTGAGACAATTTGAGAGGGCAAGTTATTATTCCAAGTGTCCTTCCATTTCATAGGCGTGAATCCGTTTTCATTTGGCCAATGGCCTAAATCAATACCATTAGCATCTTGAGCCCAGGCTGGCACAACAAACTTTCCCATTAAACCTGTTTTTGAACACACAAATATTACTTTGTCAGAGGCTCCGCGTGCTACTCGTCCCCGGCCCAAGAACCTAGAGGTAAAGTTTCTGCTGCTGCTGCTGCTGCTCCCGTGAGCTGCTCCTCTGTGGCCCTCGGCAACCCCTCCTAATAGCCCGTAAGCCCGAAGGAAACGCAGACCCAGGCAAGCGATGTCTGGGGAGGGGAGTCTGAATATAAAACTGTGCAACTAAAAGGTTTCTTCAGTTAATACGGCTCTTTCCCCCTGCGAAAGGCTACCTTTAAAAGCTGCCATTTCCTTTGCATTAACTAAAAACGGACACATCTGTTGAAAGAAAGGGGGAGGGGAAAAGACAATAGCTATTATGATGGGCAAAGTGTGTGCGCGTGTGTGTGTGTGTGTGTGTGCGCGCGCGCGCTTGTCTATGTGCATAAACTCGCTAAAGAAAATGCAGAGAGGCGAGACTGGCAAAAAGACTCCGGGGGGGTTGCTGTCAGTTATTATTTATACAGCATCATAAGTGCATGGCTGTCAAAGCCAACAGCCCCCGTACTTAACTGCTACCTAAGTGCTGGCCATGCGAGATCTCAGAAGAATGACTCTCCTATTTAATATTTAACCAGATGCTTCCATTTTTGAAAATATATTTTGCTCCTTACGGCGGGCAGAGGAGAGGCTGACTTGCAACTTCTGCGATGCCTGAGCTATTGTTGGGAGTGACAGAAAACCAGTTTCTGTTCTTCTCACTTCGCTGTCTATATTTCCACCGTGTTGGCATCCAGAGTATTTCTTCCACATGTTTGAATTGCTCCCTATAATATTGTATTCGTTAACATCCTGACGAAATAAGCTAAGGCTTAGTTACTCTAAAACCATAAGGGAGATGTAAAAGCTAAGGCTTAATGAAGGGGTTAACGCAATTGGCCCCAAGCCATGCAAGCCAAGGGAAGGGATGAACCAGAACTTGACTCTTTGCAGGGTTTGAATTTTGTGGTATGATGGAAAGGCCATGTAACCTGGACTCCTGCAGCCCCTGAGAAATTGCCCAGACCACCAAGTAGAAGCAGGACTGCCGATTCCACTTCAGCACGTGGTGATGTACTAGATGCCGGTGGCCATTCCGCCAGCTACGACCGGCTGACTTTCCACCTCTCTTCCTTGAGTTCTCCCTCTCCTTGTCCCAGGTACATCCCCTGCCTCTCCATCATTTCTTATCTTTGTCCTCCATCTCTGGTCCTCCTATTCAGAGGCCCTGGAAGGGCTCTCTCAGATACCGCAGCCACTACTGACCACGTATGGGACCGAATGCTCATGCTTCCCATGGACTCTTCTGGAAACTGACTTAGATGCCTATCAATTAATCAATGCCGTAGCCAACAGGCACACAGTAAAGAGGCGCCAGGAGCCTCTCAAGTTCACCTGCCAAGACCCGTTCCTCCCTCTTCTGCATCACCAAGAATTTACTCTCCTCACGCCTCTCCCTCCTGGTCCCCGTCGGTGTGTGTGGCAAGTCTCTTAATGGCTCTGAGCCTCTGCCCACGATACGGGGGATGCATGGACGTGGCCAGCCCCTTGAAAGGCCCTCTGTTTTTCCAGCTCTGTTATTGTTACAGCCCAACTGTCAAGTTCTTTCTCCCATGTCTCCCACACATCATTTCCTCCTGTGCCCGTATATTTCCAATGAAAATTGCAAGGACACTACGACAATATAAGAACAAGAGCGCAGTATCCCCAAGAAAGAAGACCGTCTGTGCTTGTTGTTCTTGGGTTCCTTTCATCTCACCTTTGGGGCTCTTTAATACATCCCACCCTCCTGAAGGGAAAGTAAGGGAGACGGAGGAGGCCTGAACAATGAAGCATTTCTCTGCTCCACTCCCCTCCTCCCCCACCCCACTGGCCCAGACCCCCCAGACCAAGAATGACTCCCATGCTTCATAAAATTGCAGATAATACTGAGGGGGCCGTCGGATGACTTCACTGGCCTGTACAGACAGCATCTGTACGGGCTCCTGAGGGAGATGAGATCCGACACAGAGCTGCCCCTTGTGCTGGGGACGATATCAGAGGGTCCCATTATCTGCAGAGGGGATGTGAAATTGGAACAAGTCCAGCTGAGAATGTAGCAAGCCACACCATTTACATGAAATATACGGTGTCGGGCCCGCCACGCAGCCGACTGGCTTTGATCTTGGTGAACTTTTGAATCATGTGTGACTAAAGAATTCTTTACAAAGAATTATTTCAGCTTTCTGAGTTAATGAAAAGCCAGCCAGCACAATTTATGGAAGCAAGAGACCAAGCATTAGAGGGAAGGGGAAAAAAAAAAGTCATAAAAAAAATCCCCAGGAGCCTTTAATGCGACAGTCCTCATGGTCTGTGAGGATCTCTAACTCCACATTTTTCTGTCAGATTTATTGGGTTTTATCGGAATTCATTCCTGTCAGCCTGGGGTTCATGGAGATATCCTTAAAGAGAAAAATGTGTCTGAGGCAAGATGACCCAGATCGATGAGACAAAATTAAGGGAATAAGCCCCTAATTATTGGGCAACGATGAACCCTGATTGCCACGTTACAAAACCAGCATCACATGAGCACAACCATAGTCCCAGGAGGGGGTTACGGGAGCTTCCGATACTTAGGGACCAACTGGGTTGTAACTGATATAGCAAAACTCCACAAAATCAACCTGCCATTTTTATGGCGTGAAAACGATTCTGCTTCCCAATCTACTTCACGGTAGATGATGTGTCCTCAGGGGAAAAGAAATATGGGAAGCTAGGGGGGAAAGCGACCACTTAAAAGCAGAGTGCATGTCTCTTCTGAATCGGATGATGTCTGCGTGCGTTGGCCGGGAATTTGCTACAGAGCTCATCACCCAGAGAGTAAATCACAGGATACGTACAAAGAGATTTCGGAACAGAAAGGTTAAGATGTGAGTCATCTCAGATGTGGGAAACCATTTCTCTCCCAAGGCTGGGCACCGTGCACTTTCATTTATCCTTTCCCAAGATTTTTCTTTCAAGAAGAGATTAAAGACAGCCGTGATCTCTGAGAAGTCTTCATTCTTTATACTGCGGTAATAATAAATCTAATTCCTTTCGCTAGTTCTCTCTCTCAATAAAAAAACATTTTATCCATAAGCTATCGTCTGTATCGTGAAAGGGTAGCGCTTGGGATAATTTTCTGCTCCAGGGAGGCAGAACGAGGCAGAGGTTAAGAGCTCGGTCTCAACCCCGTGCCGCCTTGGTTGGCTCTGTCCTCCCGTCCTAGCTGGCGACTGTGCACTGACAGTCACCCTCTCGGCCTCAGTTTCCTCGTGGGGGTAATGATGGTGTCTCCCTCCTCAGGTCTTTATAAGAACCAAAAAGAGATAAGAGGTCAACACTTTCTGGTATGCGATAAACCCTCAACAAATACTACATGACTTCCTAAAACTAGATGCCTTGAAAAATAGATTACAGGTTCAGTCCTTTGCACTTAATTTTAAGAAGCTTTTAAATTTGAGAAGACTCGTGCATTTTAAAAACAGGACGATCGAAATGCAGAAAACAGCCGGTTATTACCCTAACAGAGCTTCGATTTAATGAATTCCCAATAGCTATTTTCTAGGATGTACCTGTGTGTGGGCATCATGCCAGCTAACTTGATGTACATTATCTCATTTTAATTCTCAGAATAAGCATAGGAGGAGATCACTATCCTGCAGCCTTGAACAATGGTCAGCGTGGTTATGTGATCAGCTCGCAGTTTCAGAGGTAGAAGTGTCAGAGTTTACATTTTAAACTCGGATTTTCTTAATCCAAGTCCAGTACTCTTTCTAGATTCCACATTTCTCGTCAGTGTGCTTCCTATTAGGTCACATTCAAAATTCGAATTATTATAAGCATAGATTTTAGTAATACTAATAGCTTATCACATTATAAAATACAATGTGCAATCATATTATACAATCTCTCCCTTAGACAAATACGCATGCCTTCGCAAATCGAGGAAAGTAAATTACATGCCTCTTGGGCAACTACTAATAATTAAGCAGGGAATTACATATTGATTATTAAGGGCTGAAATTGAGAGAAAAACTGAAAGCTAAGTCAGGTGATTGAGATAAAGATAAAGAGCACTACTAAATCTTCAAGAAAATAAAGTGAAGGGTTTATTGGGTTTGGGTGATTTTTGTTGGTGGTGGTGGTGGTAGTGGCGTGTGTGTGTGTGTGTGTGTGTGTGTGTGATTTCAAGAGGGAAGCCACAAAAATACCTTCTCTCCTTAAAAATATCTCGTCAAATAACTCGTGAATTCTTTTCACTGCTAGTGAAAAGTACGTATTATTAAAGTGGCCTGAGGGCTGTCTCTTTCTTCTTTTCCTTCCTAGTCTAACTAACATTCTACAAAGTAAAAGAAACCTCATCTGTGAGTTCTTACCCTCCTCTAATACCATTTTTAAAAGACAGACGGCCCCCCCGCTGGGCCATACTGAATTTAATAATCTATGGCTCTTCTCTGGAAAGAAGAGGCACCTGCCTCCTGACAGTGCAGAGGCCCCGGAGGGGCTGACGGAACGAGACAACGGTAGAGCTATTCCTTCCGCTCGCAGCCGTGATGCCAGAGTTTGGTGGGCGTGTTGGTTTACTGAGTTTGCCAAAACAAAGTACCATAAACTGGGCAGCTTAAACAACAGGAATTTGTTGTCTCACAGTTCTGGAGGCTGGAAGCTCAAGTCAGGGGTGTGGCAGGGTCGTTCCTGCTGGTGGCTGTGAGCGAAGGACGTGTCCGGACCTCTGTCTTTGGTTTGTGGATGGCCATCTTCTCCCCACGTCGCCTCACGTGGCCTTTCCCCCATGAGAGTTTGTGTGCAAATTTCACCTGTTTATAAGGATAGCAGTCACCTTGGGTTAGGAACCCACCCCACTCCAGGATGACCTCATTTTCACTAATTATATCTGCGATGACCCTATTTCCACATAGAGTCACATTCTGGGGTAAGGACTTCAACATACAAATTTGGGGGAGACACAACTCAACCCATAACGGTGGGTCATGGCTCTGAAATTTTTCCCGGGAAAGGTTGGCTCTCGTCACTCAAAAGATGCATTGACATTAGCCAAATAATTTTATGGCCATTAATGTACTTTCCAGGAGTAGTATACAAACATAGTGGTGTTGTCTTCACAATCTTCTCGCAAGGTGTTTCCTCTGAGCAAATAGTCTCTCAACCCGTGTAGTCACGGGCACTAAAATGACATCCTGACACTTGAGATACCTAACTTGTTTTAGTATCTAATGCCCTGAACTAAAGGAGAAACAGCAGGATTGGGAATGGGAAACCAGTAAAATCTTATTCGGACATGTTACTGAGTCACAGTCCCTCACTTGGTAAGACAAACAAATATTTCCCACTGGGAATTAAGGCTGGGGCTTATTCAATCTAATTCCTTTACAATTCAGAGTACTAAAGCCAGCTCCAGTGTGGCCTTCTCTGGATAGTTTTCTCAGAGACCCGCCTCCGCTCCTCACGGCCTTCCCCAATCTCCCCGGTCCCGTTGTCACTTAGGCAGTTATCGCTGCATTATTGATGTACCTCCTTCAAGAGACGGAAATCCTTGAGCAAAGAGACTTAATCTCTGTAGCCACATGCAAAGGAGAGTACAGTCAACATTTGTAAATGAAAGTTGTTCAGCGAAGGGTTTGCGGAATTAAAATCGGGTCGACATGGACCACGTTAACTTAAGAGTCTGTGAACACCTGACTGTCCCTACTGAATAGAGAGGAATGGCCATCTCTCATTTGTTCTAAAAACAGCACGGAGGGAACAAGCGGAAAGCATTGGGACCTGCGCTGAGAATGTCGCTCACCCTGGCTATCTACTCCAGTCCCTTGGGGGAACATGCACAAGTGACATATCAGAGAGCCCGAACCATAGCCGTGAAGATGGAAAGAGTATTTTAAATAATTCTTAGTCTCTTTAAATCAAAAGGATTCTGGTTTAATCTTTGTCCTCCTTTTTTCTTGAGCTATTTTTCTTGAATCTCCAGCCAAAGCTGATAGTTTTATATACATGTGTGTATTAGTGAGTATCTAACTCCCTGAACTAAAAGGAGAAAAAAAGCAGGATTTTTTTATATAGCAATAATTTGTTTTTTATGAGAATTTCTCTGTGGCATTTACCCCTATTTTATTTGGGCACATTTAGTTTCTCCCAAAAGGACTATATCAGCTGGCATTAGGAAACCTTAGAAATGTGTTTACGCTAAAACACTTGAAATTGAATCTTCGAGATGACCCAAGTCTAAAGGGATTTATTTTACTAATGCAATTCTGTCTTCCCTAACTCTGCTTCTGTGAAACTAAAATCTCTCACAAGTCGAGGTTGAGCTGGGAGGCAACAAGCAAACTTAACTTCATTTGGGTCCCAACCTCTGAGCTAGCTCAGCGTGTGGCCCCAAATTCGCTGCCTCTCAAAGTGCTGTCTTCGTGTGTTTTCTTGCACCCCCTGTGCATTCAAATTCAGGCACACCATGGAAAACGGTTCAGGGAGGTGTTCAGGATCCCAGGACGGTGTCCCTGGCTAAGAAGTCCAAGTTAGTCTTAGTTTCACAGCATCCTTTGGGCTGCAAAAAAAAAAAAAAGAGAGAGAGAGAGAGAGAGAAAATTACTTTCTTCTCTGATGGTATTTTCATAAAAAGAACTCCAAGCACTTAAGAAAATAAAAGGGTTTCCTTCACCTTTCATCCATGTGGTTCTATATGTGTGTGGTTCTGGAACTCTGCAATCTAGAGTCTGCTCTCTTCACCTTGGGAGAAGAAAGGAAAGCTTTTCTTATCCGACACACTAGTCCAATGCAGTACAGAAAAACCCCTCTCTTGCTCCGTGGAGGACAGTGTCCACAGCAGATGTGTGACCAGAAGATGGCGCTGAACCCCTCACAGCACCACCCCCTCCCAACACCCACCCCCACTGAACCCCGGTAGCCCATCCCAACCTTCGCTAACACTGTTGGGAGCTCTACGAACCACTGTGCCTAAGCCAGGCTCTGTCCATGGAGGAGATGAGCTATTCCTTCATTTCTCTCAAGGAATTTGTGGACGTTGGAGTAGGAACTACATAGGGCTGAAAACGCACTATAAAACATGCCTCCTCTGTGGGCCACGAGGAAGAAGCCCACGTTTCTTGACACATGTAAACCCAGAGATGGAGGAACATCGGGAAGAGCTTCCCTTATGACTCAGTAGCTGGCACGTGGGACAAAGTTGCAGATGCATTAAGCCGAACGCAGTGGAATGGATGGAGACTGCAAGATCTTTCGGTGGCTTTCCTCGCCCGTGGAATATTGAAAGCTCGCTCTAGTTTTCAGCATTTTATTGTCCTGTCCGTCACAACCTTGCCCTTTACTCCCATCCCACGCCCTCCCCCTAAGCTTGTGTGCCGTCAAGTGCTCCCTTCACACCACTCCTCGGTTCTTTCCCTCAGTTTCGCTATTAATCACAACAGTGTGTCCTCTCTATTATTTCCTTTGAAGACCTGGGGAATTACGTGTCACCATTTTGCCACAGCCGCCTCCTCCTACGGTTTTATTCATGCTCTTTTTTAACCTCTCTCATCTGAACAGACAGACTTAACCTTCCTTTTCTAACATGAGACATTGGACCCAGAGACCTTACCACAAAATCATCTCGATCTCTTTGAAACATTACATCTGAATCCAGTTGTGTTGAATGTATTCACAGGTTTCTTCCTCGAACATTTTTTCTTCCAATTCTTAGCTTTAAATTCCTCCCCAATAAGTTCTTCATTGGTGGGCTTTGCTATCTATCCTAACCTTTCAAAGCTAGTGTGAGCCGCTGAAAAGGCATCACGTCTAATTAAACTGTGTTGAATGTCAGGAAACGGCATTATCAGCCCTGAGGTAAGAGGTGCTGTGAGGAATCAGGCTCTGCATACTCAGCAGTGAACTTGGTGCAGGTTGAACTTGGAAGAGGGGCTGCGAACCACACAGGGGAAAACGCCATCTTCAGAATGATAGGGCAAGTTAGAGGGTGATATATATTCTAGAAAAACTTACAAGAGCAAGGGAAGAGAGACTGGGTGCTGGAGTGGGAGGGCTGCAATTTCATATGAGGGGTGAAAGCCTCGGTGAGTAGGTGACCCATGAGCAACGGTCTGAAGGAAATGAGTGGACTCCCAGGGAAGACCGAGTGCCAAGTCCCTAAGGCAGGGGAGGAGGGCACGTGAGGAGCAGCAAGAAGGCCTGTGTGGATGGATGAGAACGGAGAAAAGGCCAGTCTGGATGGGGAATGGTGCTTCCATCAACTCTGGAAAGTTCTAAGGGTTCCCTGGGCCTTCTACGACACGGCAGGGACTCTGGCCTTCACCGAGTGGAATGAGGAGCCTCTGCTGGATCCGAGCAGAGGAGTGACATGCTCTGACTCAGATTTTTTGGTTTGAGGGGGAGTTTGGGTATTTTGCCACTGTTATTTTTAAAAATTCATTATATCTAACATTTCTGGGTGTCCTATGTTGACCATATTACTGGAAATTGAAGTTTCATGTTACTTTATAAATACGTTTGTTAACTAATCCCTTGCTTGAACCACATCAAGTTGGTTCATATTTAATGTGCTTTACTATTTTTAACCAAATTTACAAAAAATATATTTAATGTAATATGGTTGGTGTATTTATCCTAGAAAACAGGCAGGAGATTTAGAAAAGCAGAGAAAAATTAAAACTAGACATTATGGGTTTCAAAGCAACAGAAATCTTACACAAGGATTTGTTCCTGGTGCCTAATTTATGACTCCCGGTTTCTTGCTGATACGCCACCTAGAGAACTGAAACTATCGGCTGAAATTTTTGAACAAGAAAAAATTGTGTCCAAAAAAAAATTTCATTGGCTTATTCTATAAGTATTTATCTATCAGAAGATTTTTCTGAATAACAAAGGATCTATACACGTGAAATTGCAACCATTAAGCAGTAGACTCTTCTTCTGAACTTGAAGCGTGGAGATTGATTCTTTCCTTGTCATCACCTGTTTAGTTTGTGGCGTAGATAAATGCTATTTGCATTAACGTTTCAAAGGAAAAAATTATTATTGATTCATTTAAATATTTCTTTTTTTTCCCTTGAATACTTGCACAGAATAAAGTAGTTTGTAATAATAGTTGAATATCATATTATTATCATATCATTTTGTTTACTTATCTATTTTTAATTTTTTAAAATTTTTGCTACTACCGGGGACCACAATCGATCAAGAAGACGCTGCTGGTTTTATGCATCCCTCAGACTGCCGTGTGGGGAACACACTGGAGGGAGGTGGGGACAGGGCAGAGCCAGATAGGGACTATGTCAGTAACGCAGAAGGGATGACGCCGGAGGAGTGGGGGGAGGGGGAAATGCTCAGATCGCGGGTACGCTCTGAAAACGGAGCCAAAAGAATTGCTTGATGAAGTGAATGTGAGGTGTGAGAGAAAGACAGAAATCAGAAATACTCTTAATCGATAATATGGATGAACCTTGAAAATATTATGCTAAGTGAAAGAAGCCAGACAGAAAAGGCCACATATTATATAATTCCATTTACATGAAATGTTCAGAATAGGCAAATCCATAGCCACGGAAAGTAGATTAGTGGTTGCCAGGAGCTGGGGCAACCGCTACAGAGAATGGGAAATGGTGGCTCGTAGGGAAGGGATTACTTTTTAAAATATTCTGAAATTACATAGTGGTGATGCTGGCACAGTATGGATGCGCTAAAAGCTGCTAAATTGTACGCATTAAAGTGGTTAAAATGATGAATTTCATTTTCTTTGAATTTCACCTTAATTAAAAGAAAAATAACTCATAGTGTTTCTGGTTTGAGCAACTGGAAGAATAAAGTCTCCATCAGTAGAGGTGAGTAAGGAAGTCTCTGGCTGGGGCAGGCTAGTGACGGAAGATGAACAGTTTAGTTTTGGACATTTTGAGTCTGAAAGGTCTATTAGACACCCAAGTAGAAACATCAGAAAG